TGGGGAGAAAAATGGGGAGAGAGAGAAGAGAGAGGGAGAGATGGGACGAAAGCTGGAGAGATGGGGAAAGAGGTGGGAATAGAGTCGAGGAGAAAGTTGAAGATAGAGCTGGGGAGATAGGTGGGAGAAGAGCTGGGGAGAGAGATAAGGAGGGAGTGGAGGCAAGAGAGGGAGAGAGAGATTGGGAGAGAGATGAGGAGGAGAGCTAGGAGGGAGATGGAGAAAGAGGGAGAGAGAGCTGGGGAGAGAGATGGGGAGAGAACCGGGGAGAGAGAGAGAGGGAGAGAGATGGGAAGAAAGCTGGAGAGAAAGATGGGAATAGAGTTGAGGAGAAAGTTGAAGAGAGAGCTCGGAGGAGAGAGGAGGGGAGAGAGATGGGGAGAGAGCTGCAAGAAGAGCTGGGGAGAGAGTTGGCCTTTTTGGATGCTTTTGCTCCAGATTTGCTTCTATCTCTAAACGGCTTCTTCCACATTAAGGCAAACACTATGGTTACGTCAGCATTCAGAATCAAGAAAGATGGTAATGGAAGACCGCGTGAACACTTTTTGGGTATGGGGCAGAGGGCTAATTATAGCCATTGATGAACATGCCATGATGGGGATACGTTAGAATTATTTCAGCATCATATCATTATAAACTGCACCAAGGACTTTTAAAGCTCACATCAAATAGACCTATACTTTACTCCCTACGGAAACAGACTGAAATAGACTGAGACTGGACTCAACTATGGACAAAACACCCCAACCCTAACTTCATAAAGGGTAGAAGATAAAGTTTCCCTCACTTGAAATCTGACATGAATCAACAAACACATTACAATGATTAGCTTTGACAGAGTTTAGAAAATCCTCTCTTTTACTTGACAGAATATCAGTATTTATAACGCGTGGCTAAATCTCATTCTCCAGCCTTGTTTTTTCCACTGCATGTCTTCTTCTTGAAGTGTGGCATCTTTGTGGAGGGACACTTTGGCACCGCTCCCCTCAGCCCAAACCTCTGTGATGGAAACATCTCTACTGTACGAATGTGGAACCAAACTCAAGCTCGACCACAGTGTTGGACGTGAGCCAGACCCTCGACAGCAGGAGGTGATGAAGAGAGCGGAAAATATCTGCTACTACCTCTTCTGATGCCGGGTCCTGTTTCCACTGCAACTGTCGGCTCCAACAAACCTTTCATAATTGTAGCAAATGCAAAAACCTCAGGCTGCTACACTTACAGTAATCATGAAGCTAATTTATATAAATATATGAATCTATGTTTCCATGATTTTAAACAAGTTTAATCAATTCAAATGGGAGTAATAAACACAGCCATCACATTAGAAAACCATTTCTCTCTCGCTCATGCTTCAGAGCAAAAAGGTTGTGGGTTCAATTCCATATACGTAGGCGCAGACTGTGTCTATAGCATGTAGTGAAATGACAAATTATTCTGTCCTTGGTTTGGTTTAAGAAATTGAAAGAAAGAAAGCTCCTCTTTAGTCTCTCAGTTCTTGCCCTGCACGAGCGCTGCCTTTGTCTGGAGAGGAACCACTAGAATAGCTCATGATGGGGATGACAAATTTAAAAATCCTGTTTCAGGTTAGCCTTCCCATCCCCCCGAAGTATTGTATGATAAATCCCCCAGCTCTGGTAGTCCTGACCAAGCTGGACGCTGCACTGAGGCGAACACTATAGGCCCTAGTGGCATTGAGAGATGGTGTGAAGTGCATTATTCATTCATTTCACGCTAGTGGTGAGTTACTGGTGTAGCCATAACTGCCTCCAACCCCTGCAACCACCACCGCACTCCTCTTTGGCTCAGAGTTTTACAGTAATATTGCTATTTGTCCAGAAAATTCAAAGAATCATGTGGTAAAACATAAATTATTGTGAAGGATTGAGCTTTGTTCTGTTGAAAGACAGACCAACATGGAAAACAATTTGGCAAATGTGAGTTCTTTTGTACTCCCATTGTTGTGTAGCTCATCAATCTAATTGGCTCCATGTGTTTTTCCGTATCTCAAGCCGCAGTTGTCTCTCTGGTTAGCATGCTGCACTTAAGAGTAATCAAGGAAATAGGCTGTCTGTTTAGCTTTGAGCGATGGCAACAACAATCTGCCAGATCAGACAAAGTTGCATAGACTTAAAGTAAACCTAAGCGTCAGGTATAAGCAGGAGAAGCCCTGATAACACATTGTTGAATAGATCTATTTTGTAAAAATATATAGAGCCTTTCACAGACCAGAGTCATAAAGCTTTTTACTGTTGAGGGCATTCGTCTGTCACTCCACACAGAGATGGAAGCTCCATACAGCAGGATAGTTTTAAAGCCATTATTTTGAATAATAACAATTATATATTGGAATTATATCAAGTCAATAATTTAAAAACAAATTAAATGTGGTGTGGTGTATGCACATCTGGGTCACTGAATGCCAGTAGCTCATCTTTAAAAAGGTGAAGGCTATAGTTAGAAAGGGCCTCACGCTCACTGATTTCACAAGTACAAACACGCTTGTGCAGCCACTAATTAAGATGTCAACACATATATAGCTGTCATATTAAAAGTGAACAGCTCAGATTTACCTGGTAACCTTGGGTTTAAAGCAACACTGACTTTCTCCGACGATAATGACAGAGGAAACAGTCATTATGAGCTTGAAGAGGGGACTTCCCACTGGTCAACAAAACCTGCAGCTTTTATCTAATGCAATGGTGTTATAGGGTAGTTTAGAAAGATGAGTCAAAGTGCACATATCTGTATACAGACAAGTTAAAACGACAACATAAACAGATGATTAGTTAGATGCGTGCATTAAATCAAATAACCTGCACAATATGCCAATTTGATCAGCTAAAGTGCTCCTCATAAGCCTTCCAAATGATCTGAAGGTGATGACAGCTTCATTTAGCATATACTCCAAAGTGTGTAACACCTCAAACACGATAAAGCCAGGCAGATGATACTGAGACCTAAGTTTCTAGATTGTGGAATAATGTCAGAGTGTGCAATATGGGACCACTTTACATCATCCTGCTGCTAACATGTAGAGTTGTATCACATGCTGCTAACATGTACAGTAGTATCACATGCTGCGAACATGTATAGTAGTATCACATGCTGCTAACATGTATAGTAGTATCACATGCTGCTAACATGTACAGTAGTATCACATGCTGCTAACATGTATAGTAGTATCACATGCAGCTAACATGTACAGTTGTATCACATGCTGCTAACATGTATAGTAGTATCACATGCAGCTAACATGTACAGTTGTATCCCATGCTGCTAACATGTATAGTAGTATCACATGCTGCTAACATGTACAGTAGTATCACATGCAGCTAACATGTACAGTAGTATCACATGCAGCTAACATGTACAGTAGTATAACATGCTGCTAACATGTACAGTCGTATCACATACTGCTAACATGTACAGTAGTATCACCTGCTGCTAACATGTACAGTAGTATCACATGCTGCTAACATGTATAGTAGTATCACATGCTGCTAACATGTACAGTAGTATCATGTGAATAAGAACAAGTGACTTGGCATTTATTTTTGTTTTTATCGTGTGCTGTGGTTTTGTGTTTTTATCTTGCAGTGCATTTTAACCTTATTTATAGTTTTAAGGACTCGCTATAGTCACATGTTTTTATCACATGGCTTTTACCCCAATCCCTGCTGCGGGACAATCAAAAGCACCTGTGTCTGGCGGAAATTGGAGCAAATAAAAGGAGCGCAGGAGCCACGACAGCACAGACACAGAGCGAGGCAGAGAGACAACAAGCACGCAGGAGCAGGAAAGCCGCGGCACCCCACCACAAGCAGGACGAGCAGGACGGCACGCGCATCGGGACTACAGCACGCTGAGACCGCAAGTGTTGCGAGGCGATATACACGCAGAGGCAGAGGAGAACTCTGCCTTCCGTGTAAGTACCTTTTGGGGACATAGTAACACTTGTCGGATAAAGTTAGATCGAGCACATCACTGTTTAGAACGTTTGACTGCCGCTAGTGATTTCCGCGTAGGTGTCTCAGCGTACGGAGGACGAGAGCCAGACGGGAGGAGTCGAGACTAAGTGAAGGAGTGTTGTGACGCTGAACACACGCAGGGGCAGAGGATAACTCTGCCTTGTGTGTAAGTATTGTAGCGACACTCCACCATCGTAGGCTAAGGCCTTATAGCTTCGGACCCCCGTACTGGCGTATGCTTTGCATTCTAGGTGGCCCGGTGCGTGTGACCCAGGTTGGAGTGCTGCCCTGGACCAGGAGGGAGTGGGACCTGCCTGCACCTGACCGTGGACCGTGCCTTTTAGTAGTTTTAACCTTTTTTTTTAGCCCACCTTGTTTTTAATGGACTTTTAACAGTGTTTTTATTTTTGGGCATTTTTTTACTGTTTTAATTATTCCTTGCATTAAATTTTAATAACTTGCCACGACCTTTTTGTCTTCCTTGGTAGACAAGTGTGCTCTCACCCGGTCACTCAATCTCTTTTTTTGCAATAGTTATTTTTCCGGTCAAATTTCATTCCGCTTCCAAACACCTTCATAGCCCCCCCTCGTTACATAATTTGGCGTTGCTGACAGGATCTGGGTCTCGAGCACACTTGTTTGCCAGGGAGGAAGGAGCCATGATGATGCCAGTATATCCTGGTGCCCCCTGGCTCCCTAAGTTTAAAGGGCCAGGGGATGACTTAAAACTCTGTGATTGGAAAGAACAAATGGAAGGGTTGTTGGGGTCTCAAGAGCTAACTGAGCCTAGAAAGGTTGCTATTGTGTTGGGAGCATTAGCCGGTGAAGCCAAGCGTCAAGTCAGTGTCCTAGAGGATGACAAAAAAGACACAGCTCGAAAAAATTTTGCGTATCTTGGCTCCCTCTATGGTGACCAAACCCCGACATCTGTTGTTAGGTCACAATTTTTTTGTTGTGCTCAAAAACCGGGTGAAACGGTCCAGTCTTTTGTTTTACGTCTCCGTGAGTTGTATTGCAGGCTACGGCGGCATGACGACCCCCCCCTCCGAGGCAGCCCTGAGAGATCAGCTGCTTCTAGGACTGCGTGAAGGACCAATGACACAGGCGCTTAAAGTGTATGGACTGCGTGAAGGACCAATGACACAGGCGCTTAAAGTGTATGCTCGTCGGCACCCAGATGCAGATTTTGCAGCGCTGCGAGAGGAGGCGCTGTTGTTGGACTCTGAATATGGCAGCTCTGCATCAGAGGTAACGTGCTCCATTGTCAATAATAAGTCTAGTTTTTCAAAGGAACCATATTCGGACTGGAAGGAGACCCTCAAGCGTGACATAATGGAGGAAGTGAAGGCTGAGATGAAGGGATTGGCACAGGAACTAATAAGGGAGCTCAAACCTCACTTGTCACCGGTTGCAACCGCCGCAGAGCCGCCAGTAACACCCCGGAGCTACTACCGATCACCCCCACGCAACCAACGGGATGAACGAGGTAGGCCCATTTGTCGACTGTGCAATAAAGCTGGACATATAGCCAGATACTGTCGGACGACATCTGCCTCAGGGCCAGCTTTAAACTAGCTGTCCCTGCCGCTGAGGTCCGTTCGGCAGGGGTGGCTGGTCCAACAGCACAGACGAGGGTCACAGAGACATTCATAGGCCAATGTCCAACAATAAAAATCACTGCTGAAGGAGTTGAATTGGAAGGGCTGCTAGATACAGGGTCACAAGTAACTTTAATGGCCGAGAGTGTGTTCAATGAACATTTTACCCAGGCTAAGCTTGGAAGGACACCTGTACTGTTTAAATTGAGAGCAGCTAATGGTCTGGAGATCCCGTATATTGGGTATGCCGTGCTTGACTTGGCAGTCGAAGGGACACAGATTCCTGGACGTGGAGTAGTGATTGTAAGAGATGAGGATTGTACGCATCCCCTTATTGTTGGAATGAATGTTGTGATGGCTTGTTGGGATGCATTCTTTAAATGGCCCAGAAAGTCTGCCCTTCCTCCACAGAAACTTGGGAAGCCCTGGCGAGATGCCTTCGCCACCTGTCGCCGCGTTGAAGCTACTGTCGCTGAGGATGGGTTCCTAGGGCACGTGCGGCTGTCTGGTGGGCGGGCCTTCACTGTCCCTCCTAACAGCGAGCTGCTTGTGTGGGGTAAAACCCGGATGGGCCCTGACGGCGCAGACTACTGTGCCCTGGTCGAGGCACTGCCAAATGCTGGCGAAGTGGGTGTGGCCCGAACCATTGGAGTGGTAAGAAACGGCAGAATCCCAATACGTGTCTGTAACCCACATCCTTACAGCTGGACAATAGGCCGCTATCAGAAACTTGGACGCCTTTACCAAATTGATTCTGCTGATGTGCACGGTCCTGACGATGTGAGCCTGTCTCTGGAGGAAGATGGGGTGGTTGAAGTGGCCCTGGTCCACACCACATCTGACCCTGGACAACATGGCCTCCCCGAGGAGGTGAGAAACCTATCTAACCGAACTGACTTGTCTGAGCAGCAGCAGGAAGAGCTTGGTGCGCTTTTGCAAAAATGGGAGAAGGTCTTTGCAAAGCAAGAAGAGGACTTCGGCCGGACCAACGCAGTACAACATCGCATCCACACGGGTGATTCTGCGCCTACCAGAGAAAGGTACAGACCGCTTCCACCCTCGCTCTACAAAGAGGTGAAGTCCCTGTTAGCAGGTATGTTGGAGAAGGGAGTCATCAAAGAGAGCTGTAGCCCTTGGGCAGCACCCATAGTTTTGGTGCGGAAGAAAGATGGGAGTTTACGGTTTTGTGTTGACTACAGAAAGCTAAATGCAGTAACACACAAGGACGCATTCCCTCTGCCAAGGAAAGAAGAGACTCTGACCAGTTTGAGCCGAGCAGAGTGGTTTACCACCCTTGACCTCGCCAGTGGCTACTGGCAGGTTGAGATGAACCCACAGGATCAAGAAAAGACTGCTTTTACTACTCCACTAGGGCTGTTTGAATTTGAGCGCATGCCGTTTGGCCTTTGTAACGCCCCCGCAACGTTCCAAAGACTTATGCAACAGTGTCTAAGTGGTCAAATTGCGGAGTCTTTGCTCGTCTATTTGGATGGCAATAATCATCTATTCACCTGACTTTTCCTCTCACCTACAGCACCTAGATGAGGTCTTCAACCGGTTGTGGCGACATGGATTAAAGCTCCGTTCTGATAAATGTAAGCTGCTGCAGTCTGAGGTCAAGTTTCTGGGACATGTAGTTTATCGTCGTGGTGTAAGACCTGACCCTGAAAAAGTTAACTCTGTCCTAGACTGGCCTGTACCAACCACGATCAAGCAAGTAAGAGCATTTTTGGGACTAGCAGGCTATTACAGGAGGTTTGTGTCTGGGTTTGCTAAAATCGCATGCCCCTGAATTCCCTGTTGGCTGGCGTTCCTGCGGACAAAAGGTCTCAAGCGCACAAAGTGCAATGGACCTCTGAATGCCAAGCTTCCTTTGACACCTTAAAGACTGAATTGACTAAGGCCCCTATTTTGGCTTATGCTAATTTTGACCAGCCATTTGTGGTATACACTGATGCTAGTCATGATGGACTTGGAGCTGTGCTTGCCCAGGTGCAAGAAGGACGGGAGCGTGTAATCGCTTACGCAAGCAGGAGCCTGCACCCCACTGAGCGCAACGATGCTAATTACAGCTCGTTCAAGTTGGAACTGTTGGCACTTAAGTGGGCTATAACGGAAAAGTTCAAGGACTATTTGACAGGAGCGCAATTCACTGTGTTTACTGACAATAACCCTCTAGCTCACCTACAGACCGCACGGCTTGGCGCATGTGAACAACGCTGGGTCGCCCAACTAGCCTCCTTCAATTACAACATCAAGTACCGGTCAGGTAAAAGTATTGTAAACGCTGACGTCCTCTCCACATTTCCAATCCCTACAGCCCATTCAAGTAACCTAGACCCGGAGCCTGCTACGTTTGCTACAGCTGTGGAGCTGGTCCCAGAGGGAGGTGAATGGGAAGAGGCCCAGGCAGCAGATGCCGACATTCAGCGTGTGAAGAGTTACGTGGAGAAGAAGAAAATACCGGGAAAGCAAGAACGCCAGGCCCTGTCCAGCGATGCACAGCGGCTGTTGCAGCAATGGAAAAAGCTTCAGGTGAAGAGTAACCTATTGTGCCGCAAGGTAATCGATCAAAAGACCTATGAAGTGCACTATCAGACTGTTTGTCCGAGCTCCAGGCGCGAAGAAGTCTGGAGAGAGGTCCACGACGCTGGTGCCCATGCTGCTGTCGACAAAACCCTCGCTAGCCTCCGACAGCACTTCTATTGGCCTAATATGGAGGGGGAGGTGCGTCATTTCCATCCGGGTTGTGTTGCCTGTAGCCTGCAAAAAAGTAGGGTTGAGCCTAAAGCCCCTCTTAACCCTATTCCCGCTTCCTACCCTCTCGAAGTAATCGTCTTGGACTATTTGTCCCTAGGTCGCCCCAATGATGTTCACCAAAACATCCTGGTTGCCACGGATAAGTTTTCACATTTTGCGTGGGCAATACCTACCCGCGACCAAACGGCTAAAACCATGGTTAACGCGATCTGGTCCAAGATCATTCAGAATTTTGGCTGCCCGGCCCGTTTCCACTCGGACCAGGGAGCCAATTTTGAGTCGTCCTTAATGAAAGAACTTTGCGACACTTATGGTATTACTAAGAGTCGGACTACACCTTATCACCCGGCCGGCAATGGCAGCGCTGAACGTTTTAATCAGACCTTGCTCAAAATGTTGCGCACTTTAGAGGAAGAGAAGCAGAATCGCTGGCCGCAGTACTTGCCAGAGCTTGTGCACGCTTATAATAATACTGTACATTCCGCTACTGGTTACGCTCCGTCCTTTTTAATGTTCGGTCGTCACTTGCGTCTCCCTGTTGATGTAGACCTAGCTGTTAGCCCCCAACAACCCCGTCACAGTGTAAATGAGTGGGTCCAGGACCACCAACACAAAATGTCTGTAGCCTATCGCATTGCACGAGAGAAAACGGGTAATTTAGCATCCCAGCAAAAGGAACAGTACGACAAGTCAGCAAAAGCCTTGCCCTTCTTGCCTGGTGAGAGGGTACTGGTACGCTTTAGAAATAGGCGAGGCAGAGGTAAGCTGGCACCTTGGTGGTCCTCAGACCCTCACATTGTTGTGGAGCAAATGGGAGGCACAGGACTGGTGTACAGAGTCCGCCCTGAGCGAGGTGGCCGTGAACAAACCTTGCACAGAAACTCTTTACAACTATGCACCTTACCTCCAGCTGTACTCCCACAGGCAGCTGCGGAACTGCCTCAGGACCAAGGACCAGTTTTACCCGTGTTTTATGGCTTTTTACCTTTTAGACCAGCTGAGCAGGACGTTATGGACATGGCCCCTAGAAGGTCAAACCGTTCTACTCTTGGACAACCGCCGGCACGGTACAGAGACTGAACTGTTTTTATGTTGCAGGGACTGACAACCTTAGAATGTGGGGGGAGGTGAATAAGAACAAGTGACTTGGCATTTATTTTTGTTTTTATCGTGTGCTGTGGTTTTGTGTTTTTATCTTGCAGTGCATTTTAACCTTATTTATAGTTTTAAGGACTCGCTATAGTCACATGTTTTTATCACATGGCTTTTACCCCAATCCCTGCTGCGGGACAATCAAAAGCACCTGTGTCTGGCGGAAATTGGAGCAAATAAAAGGAGCGCAGGAGCCACGACAGCACAGACACAGAGCAAGGCAGAGAGACAACAAGCACGCAGGAGCAGGAAAGCCGCGGCACCCCACCACAAGCAGGACGAGCAGGACGGCACGCGCATCGGGACTACAGCACGCTGAGACCGCAAGTGTTGCGAGGCGATATACACGCAGAGGCAGAGGAGAACTCTGCCTTCCGTGTAAGTACCTTTTGGGGACATAGTAACACTTGTCGGATAAAGTTAGATCGAGCACATCACTGTTTAGAACGTTTGACTGCCGCTAGTGATTTCCGCGTAGGTGTCTCAGCGTACGGAGGACGAGAGCCAGACCGGAGGAGTCGAGACTAAGTGAAGGAGTGTTGTGACGCTGAACACACGCAGGGGCAGAGGATAACTCTGCCTTGTGTGTAAGTATTGTAGCGACACTCCACCATCGTAGCCTAAGGCCTTATAGCTTCGGACCCCCGTACTGGCGTATGCTTTGCATTCTAGGTGGCCCGGTGCGTGTGACCCAGGTTGGAGTGCTGCCCTGGACCAGGAGGGAGTGGGACCTGCCTGCACCTGACCGTGGACCGTGCCTTTTAGTAGTTTTAACCTTTTTTTTTAGCCCACCTTGTTTTTAATGGACTTTTAACAGTGTTTTTATTTGTGGGCATTATTTTACTGTTTTAATTATTCCTTGCATTAAATTTTAATAACTTGCCACGACCTTTTTGTCTTCCTTGGTAGACAAGTGTGCTCTCACCCGGTCACTCAATCTCTTTTTTTGCAATATTTATTTTTCCGGTCAAATTTCATTCCGCTTCCAAACACCTTCATAGCCCCCACTCGTTACAATCACATGCTGCTAACATGTACAGTAGTATCACATGCTGCTAACATGTACAGTAGTATCATCAATGACCAATGTCCATAGATGTTGGTGAATGTGGAGTGACGTGGAACATCACCACTGTCCTGCATCTGCATGGATTTAAAACCCCATGAGAAAAGGTGAGAAACCTCAGGGAGGCCCACATTCCTACACAAGGTAACACAAAGTGCTTAACAGCCCAGATCACATACATCCCAGAAGGCATTAAAAAAACAAAGATTAAAGTCCCATGGGATATTGAAAAAATAGTTGTGTCACAGCCTGCTAACATGTACAGTGCTATCACATGCTGCTAACATGTACAGTGCTATCACATGCTGCTAACATGTACAGTGCTATCACATGAAGCTAACTTGTACAGCAGTATCTGTGAAGATTATAACCTATATATAATGACTTACAGATTTTTTACAGATACATCTGTTCAATCTTATACATGCATATATGTATTTCTCTGCTCTAGAGTATACAGGTTTTTTGTGAGCTACAAATGATCAGTTTGTATTTTATTTTCCATTTTTCACAAGTTGTGCTATTCACTTATCTTGTGTTGTGTGCTCCTCATTCCAGCTGTTGTGTGTCCTGTGATGCAACACTGAAATGTCCCTGCTGTGGGACGAGTAAAGGATCTTTTAATCTTAATCCTAGGCACAAAAAAGAGTTTAACTTTAACCAATACCCCTTCAATCTGTAAAAAAATTGTACTTTTTGTTTTTATTGACCACTGATCAAAGGAAAACAAATCTATATTGTTACGGGCTAGGCCTTATGGGGGCCTTTTCCTGTGTCTCCGTCCTGCCGCTCCTGTCTCCCGTGTGCACAGGGGGACCAGTTGGCGCTGAAGCAGTGGGCGTGTTCGCGCACGCAATCAGCGCACGAGCATATTGCCTGGAGGATAGGTGCACGCGCTCTCTCTGCGCGCTCCTGAGGGCCATTCCACTCCTGCCCGGGTGCCTGTTGCATCTCCTCCCTGGCTGTCCTTCAACATGCACTATTAAGTTTGTCTTTTGGTTTATGCACCTACATTCATATCGCACATACGGCGCCCTCACTGCACACAAGCATTACCTGCACCTACACCACTGACTTCTACATAACACACCCCATATTTACTTTTTTGTATATATTAATATTTGTTATTCCGTTCTCTCAATTAAATATACTTTTGAGCACTTTAATTCCGCCTCGTCTCCTCTATTCTTGTTGTGGCTCAGAGCCAAGCCATAACAGAATAAACAGCACTTCTGAAGTCACCTTTGAATGTTTGTCCTGCATGTTGTTTAATTGTCATTGGTCTAATCTCTGTGTATGTTCCAGCTCACACAGTTCTGCCTCCTCTCTGTGGCATTTCCTGCTCTAATTGCTCGTTTGTTTATTTCTTTTCACAAATTCCTGTTTCAAACTGCACAGCTGACAAACCAACAGGCTCTCAGAGAATTCCCGACAAAGAAATAACACAAATACCAAGATGTTTTTCCAGACCTGTTTTTTTTTTTTTTTTTATGTATTTTTATTTATTTTAGAACAGAAAACAAACACACACGCACACACACACACCCCGGCCGGGCGACCACTGCTCCTGACAGAAGCCCTAGTGACATTGGAAGGATGGGTCGAAGGACAATTTTCCCAATGTGGAAATACAGTCTAACTTAAATTATGAGGAGCAAAAGACTATTCTATTAGAACATCAGTTACATTCAGACTGAAACTAACTCATTATCTTGAGTCAGCCTGACCAGAAAAAAACATCGATCATGAAGCCAGCTCCATCTAAAAATAATAATAATGCATTAGTTTTATAAAGTACTATCCAGGACACTCAAAGACACAGTTTTGCACTTTATAGCCGCAGCCACCCCACTGTGGCACCTGGTGTTCCCAAAGGTCTCCCATCACAGTACTAACCAGGCCCTGCCCCGCACTGCTTCAAAGATCTGACTGAATATGGCTTTTGCATGCATACATGGTCACAAATCACTGAACATGTCTGTGGTGAAGACAGTTAGATGGTTTCATTAGGTTGCAAGGAGGTCAGTAAAAGCCGGTCACTCATGAGATTTACAAATCTTTGGAAAGCCAAACACATGTGGCCTTGAAGCTAAAATATTAGTATGAAAGGAAAGGTATATGATTGTTTCTTCTTACAACAAAGGGAGCAGGCTGATATTCTATTCTACTCTATTTAAACCAGTCATGACAACAATGATTCCTTAGTTACTAAACAGCTGCTTCTATATATTAGCCATGACATCAAACAATAACTGGGTCACAACATTTGGATTAACGTCAAGTCTATGATAAATCCCAAATGTTTTTTCAATGCATGTGATGATTCATTGTACTCCATGATTTACTGTTTATCACTTTATCGATCGCCTGAAGCAGTTTGCCTCTGAACAAACCCATTCTGTGCGGCTCAAATATGTTTTTATCTGAATCTGTACCAGGACTCCTTTAACAAAACTCCAGATCCAAGTCAGATTTACGCAGACCACAACAAACAGGAGTAATGAGAAACATCCGCGGCCTGAGAAAACAACTTTTTCCATGAGTGCTACCCAGTTCATAGATGACTGCAGATTAATCCTTTATTAAAGCGGATTTACCTAATAAAACCACAGGAATGTATCTAGTTAAACCCATTTGACTAGTTCCTTGCTTTCAAAACAATTTGGTTCTATCACTAGTTTTCAAATGGATTAGCCTGCATATTTAGCCTTTGTCACTTCTTCAAAAAAGGTAAAACTGAGAATAAAACTTCCAGGTTCTACTCTGGCTCCTAAAGATCCCGTCTAAAGTCTTCCTAGACTAGAGTCAATGTATTTTGTTCCTGGTCTTTGTTAAAAAAAATCTAAATGTAAATACAGAGGACCGCCCTGAATCGGCCAATCAGCTCTCAGCCCAAAGAGAGACTCACAGGGATTGTTCGTACACAATCAAGATCAGGGGCCGTATTCCTAAAGATTCTTAGTGCTAAAAGTTGCTCCTAGTGGCCAAATTCTAAGAATTTTCTTAGAATCTTGACCAACTCTTAGAATTTCCCCTAAAAGTGAGGAGTAGCTTCTAGTTAAGAAAAAAGCTATTCCTAAAGAATCCTAGCTCTTAAGAGTGCTCCTAAGGTGAGATCCCTTAAGAGTTGAGAGGAGGACTTTTAGCAACTTAAAAAGTTCCCTAAGAGGACAAAATGGTGGACGGTAGAGGCAGGAGAAATATTCTATACACTGGATGAGGGTGAATCAGTAAAACACTGCAGATTGGATCCTGCAGGAATCATGTTTAAAAGTCAATCATGTAAAAGTCATCATGTACAAATAAACAGTTTTGTTTTATTAACAGCAATCCAGTTCAAAAAGGAGTGTGAAGAAGTTAATACTTTTAAACTCCCACCCTCCATTTATCATTCTAAATTAACTTAAATAGTGTGGTTGCTACATCTTAGTTTATTCCAAGGTGTATTTACAGTTATGCAACAGTGACATTCACAATAACATGCACTTGATTTGTTTATGTATAAAATGCTTATATTAATATTTTTTCCTTAATTCCTTTTACGTCTTTCAGTATCACAGCCTTTACTAATCCTAATGTTATAATCATCTAAATTATATATATATATATATATATATATATATATATATATATATATATATATATATATATATATATATATATATATATATATATATATATAAGTGCTCATGTTATATACGTTTGTTAAATATGTGTTAAATATGTGTGATAAATTGGTGCTGAGCAAGCTCTAATGTGGTGTAAAAGTCAAACTTACAACAGTAAGTTAGACAATATTAGTAAATACATCTGACTTTCTACCTTTTCTGATTATTTACAATGACATAGTATTCCTAAGATTACATTCTATGATTGAGTTTGTCCATTAGAGGATCCTTATTTTGCCCATTATCAAAAATATGGTTTCTCTAACTTTTAGGATCAACCAATCACAGCGTCTGAAATGATGACTCATACCTAGCAACGGGGTCGGCCACGCCTCCTCACTAAGATAAAAGTTGTTGTCAATTCCTTGCTCAGAGTTCTCTAAGAGTGTTCTGGAATAACTTTTAAGCTAAGACTCCTAGCTAGGAGTTTTTAGGTTAAGATAGGAGCTCTCTGAGAGGACTCTTAGAATCTTTAGGAATACGGCCCCTGGTTTTCCAAGCTCACTTTCCAACACAATTTAATAATAATTAATAATTCATTTTTTTCATGGCACCTTTCAAGACACCCAAGGATGCCTACAATATGCTAAAAAACCATAACACACATAATTAGTAGTACGGAATATAAAAAATGACAAAAAATAAGCCAGTTTAAAAAGGTAGGTTTTGATATGTGACTTGAAACTGTCGCAGGTCGAGCGATAGAGTGTCCCAGAGTTTAAATTTTCACTTTTTATAATATGTCAGATAATGTAGACGTAGATAACTTTTACTGGGAATGATTTGAAAAGGATTTATCAAAAAAGAATGGGAAAGAATCTCCGTAAAACACTCCTGTCTCGTTTGACGAGACGCACAACGACCTCACATTTCACCAGAATGACTGACGGCTGGGAGAACCAATGCTCTTGATGAACCACCCTGAAATTTTTTTTCAAACTGTTCCAGTTTCGGGATTATTCTTCAAAATAGAGGGTAAAAGTCCAAAGCAAATGTAGGTGATGTATTGACAAAGTAAATGTTTGATGGTTTCCTTGCTCATTGTCAGAGAGAGATTTAAACATTCCCACACTGCAGAAGACACATGACGGGGAGCAGATAGAATTTGAGCCGCAGTTGCCCCGGGGCATACTGACAGACATGGGGATGCCGTTTCTCACCACTAGCCTCAAAGCATCACCGATTACTCAGGAGCAGTACAAGGAGCACAAGGAGAAGGTGGTATCCGATGGGCTAAACGTTAAAGTTATATTAATAAGACAAAGAGTAAAGAAGTGAGAGGGTGGTGCAGTGGTTAGGTTCTGCTGCTATGTCTGCCCTTTGTTGTGTTGTTCAAAGTAGAAATAAGCAAAACTCACTATGTTTGAGGTAAAAATGTATTTAAATTATCTTTTTCGGAGGAATTATCCGGAGGAAACCTACGCAGACACGGGGAGAACATGCAAATCCACACAGAAAGGTCCTGGGGGACCTTCTTACTGTGAGGCACAAGTGCTAACCACTGTGCCACCGTGCCGCCCTCACAGCGTCTGTCTGACCCCACATGTTCTCAGCCCAAAGAGCTCGGTCTTGAGCAGAACTTCAGCTCAGATCTGGATCTCATGGTTTTAACCAAAACATGGAACACGTCCTCATTTTGTTCATTTCATTCCTCATCTCACCTCGAAGCAGCTGTCAATCACACTTTACTGAAAGGAAAGGCCCGCCCCCTCCTCTGTGAGACCTACAGCTGCAAACAGGGTTCGAAGTCCAAATGAAATGAACAGAATCTAGATGTGTCCATGAACAAAGTTCAGACCATGAGACCAAACCAGAGTCTGTCCCTGTCTCCTCCAGACCAGACTCAAAGGACCTGAACATGTGTCTTCTGTTGCCCTCTCTGACCTGAAGTTTCTCTGACCTGGAGTCGCTCTGCCCTGGAGTCGCTCTGTCCTGAAGTCGCTCTGTCCTGGAGTCGCTCTGTCCTGGAGTCGCTCTGTCCTGAAGTCGCTCTGTCCTGGAGTCGCTCTGTCCTGGAGTCGCTCTGTCCTGAAGTCGCTCTGTGCTGAAGTCGCTCTGACCTGGAGTCGTTCTGCCCTGGAGTCGCTCTGTCCCAAAGTCGATCTGTCCTGAAGTCGCTCTGTCCCGAAGTCGCTCTGTCCTGGAGTCGCTCTGTCCCAGAGTCGCTCTGTCCCAAAGTCGCTCTGTCCCAGAGTCGCTCTGTCCCAGAGTCGCTCTGTCCCAGAGTCGCTCTGTCCTGAAGTCGCTCTGTCCTGAAGTCTGGATCTGAAGTCCAACAAATAGGTTCGATCACATTCCACTGTATGACATAACATACAGTAATCTCCATGGCAACCAGGCAGAATGGATTTCTATTTGATAAAAAATATTGTTGCCATGGCGACCCCTGGAAACCACTTCCAGCAGCCATTTTGTGTGATCGATTAAGGCCTTACTAAAGAGCTTTTTTAAAAACTGTGAATATTACAGAAGATAAAAGTATATACACACATCTGAATATGGTCTTTTTATTGGTAAGCTTTGACAAAAAGTAGCATGCTATAGTTGCAGTAGTGTCATGTTCTACAAAAGGTCCTGTGTTCGAATCCCGGTCGGAACAGTGCCTTTCTGAGTGGAGTGTGCATGTTTTGTTTAGCTTGTTTTGTTTTATTTCCGTTCTTGTCTTGTGCAGACAGAGCACTTTTGCGTACGTATTCCAATGTGGCTTTACTGCAAACGACAAATGAAATGGCTCTGAATCTGAGTAAACTTTTGCACCACTACAGCCCCCTCCTCTCCGTGCTCTCTGTGCTCTCAGCTCTCCCAGGATCGTGACAGTAGGTGAGCGACCGCCGGAGCTCGAGGGGGGACAGCCGCGAGTCGGTTAACCCACATCTAAGTGTCCAATCGTGGGCAAAGCTCTCCGCGTGATGGGCCTCTACCTGGACCTGGCTCTGGCCCAGGGGTGAGGGTGTGTGTGCTGGGGCTTGACAGATGCGATAAGGGGCCCTCACCTGCACCACCTTCTTCTTCTGTCTATCTCTCTATCTCCATCTCTCCCTATCCTTATCTATCTCTATCTCTCTCTCTCTCTCTCTCTCTCCTAAACTACTTTTTAATCATTAATTTCATGTGGAAAGAGAACGATAGAGACCACAGCTTAAAAGAACTAAGACCCATTAGTGTCAGAGAGGTGGACGATATCTCATTTAATCATAACCCTGTTTCACGTCTTGGTGACGTCAAAATACATGGTGCAGAAATCTGACAGTTTTTCATGCTAATCACCACTTGACAAAAGCGTTACCGCGGCGACTCCTCTCTCAGGGTTTAAGCAAACATCTTGTCTCAGATATTTTGGGTCATCGCTCTTCTCCCCCACCTTCCCTCCCCCCTCACCCTCTACCAGTGGCGGCTGGTGATAAAAATTTTCGGGGGGGCGCACTGGCAACAATAAACTACTTGCTGTCATGGTGGTGTGTCGATGTGGACCCAAAGGCAGGGAGGAATGGAAGGAGGCAGACAGGTGAAAGGTTAACAGATTTAGTGATGGATAAACTATTTACAACAACAAACTATTTACAACAATAAACTATAACATTAAACTACTAGCAACAATAAACTATTTACAATAAAACTATTTATAACATTAAGCTATTTATAACATTAAACTACTAGCAACAATAAACTATTTACAACAATAAACTATTTACAACAATAAAACTATTTACAAAATTAAAGTACTGGCAACAATTAACTATTCACAACAACAAACTACTTGAACATAAATTTTGCTCTCCTCTCTTTCAGGCTAGCAAATCTTTCAATGACTCTCTGATTGAAATTGGTCATTTGACAGATTAGTCTCTTTTCCATTGAGAGCATGGCCAGGGCATTCAGCCTTTCCTGGGTCATGGTGTTTCTCAGAAAAAGTTTTCACCCTTTTTAAGGTTGAGAAGCACCTCTCTGCTTCAGCTGTGGTCATAGGTGTGGTAATAAGGATCTTTAAAAGAGTGACCGTTTCTGAAAAAACATCTTGAAGATTGTTCTCCATGAACAGCTGGAACAGGTCCACTGCACCACAACAGGCTCTGAACTCTGCTTTGCTGTAGATGAGACTGAGCTCTGTCTTGAGCTTGCTTCCATTCAGCATTGGGTAGGCCTTCAAAGTGCTTTGCAGCACCTCTTCGGGAAATGACCCGTGATGTTCCTAGAACCTGTCCCCCTGCAACAAGGTGGCACAGACAAGATGGTCGGTGAAGTTGAAGCGCTCCCTGGTGTGTCTCAGAATGGTGTTGCAGATCTACAGAGAGAATACAAAAACAGAGAGAAAAAATAGATATTAAATTAATTTACTTTTGTTGACATTGTTACCCTCTGTTGCTGCATGGTTTTGAAAAAACATCTTGCTATTATTGACAACTGCAATTGTGATATGATTTTTAATATCTTCATTAAACATTTAGGTTAATTGTGATTAGGAGATGAACTAAATCATCTCTGTAACATGACATATTTAAAATGGTATTTAAATAGCTATTTCATAAACTATGACAGATTTCTACAACATAAACTCACCTCTTCTGCAGCACTCTGACAATCCCCGGAACTGAGTACCCGACGCCGTTTTGCTGTCAGAGAGCCACTGCTTTGCTCACTCATGGAATGGAGAGAATTTCTGTGAAGAAGAAGTCATAATAATGATCAAAAAGTTGAAAAGAGATAACAATTAAAAATGTGATGATTATATTATTGACATATTACCTGATGTTTTGTATGTCCTGTTCGAACTGCTGGATGCTCCTTTTGATGTGGACTGCATCTATGTTCTTCTTCTGGAGCTTGGCATAGAGGAGGTCCACAAGTGGCATGATGTGGTGAAAAAGTTCCAGGAAGAACTTAAAGTCCTGATGTTCCAGCAGCATGGCCATGGCTCCTGCCTCTCTGATGGTGTTGGAGTCAAAGTCACCCGAATCTCGTATGTTCTCAAAACATTGAATGAGATCATCTCTCTGCTCAAACACAGTGTTGATGGCTCGGCTGTGAAAGTTCCATCGGACATTGCTGGATGTTGGTAGTCTACGGGCCACCGTTTTATCAAGGACAGCCGTACGCTTGGGTGACCTGGAAAAAAAGCTCGCAAATCCACCCAGGTCAGAAAAAAAAAATTCTCACCTTGGAAATGTGAGAGATGGCCTGTTGCATGATCAGGTTGAGTTGGTGTGCATAGCAGTGGATATAATGGGCATTTGGGTACACATCTTTGATCTTCCTCTGAACACCTGCATTGGCACACCTCATTCACACTTCCATCATGCCTAATCTACTCTTGTTTTTTTATCTCAAATGTCTAAATAAAAAAATAAATAAAAAAACATTCATTCAAAACATTCATTCAACATTAGCATGCCTCATGGCAATGTGAATGGAGAAAGACAAACAATTGATAAAATAATTCCCTGTGTTTGCTGCTGGATTTGGTGTGTGTCTGGCAACCTGAGTCAGGGAGAGTGGGAGAGGACTACAAAATATTGACTGTGACTGCAGTACCACTTTTGGCCAGATTTTTACATATTGCTCCTTTAAAACAATATTTTTCCTTTGTTTGAAAAATAGGCACAGTGCACATAAACAACATGTGATAAATCATTTTAAATAGTAGTGACATTGAGCACTACTGTTTTTGGCATTATTTTAAACAAGGTCAAACAATTTCTAATTGAAAAGAATACAATATTTCACAAAAAGTACAGATTTTGTAAGAAAAAATAGACAAACCTTCCCATTGACAAAGTGTCGGTCCCATCTGAAGCTGGACATGACCCTGGTGACTCCATATGGGTGGGCCAGCATGTAGCCGACGGCCATCTTGTGGAGGCGAGAGTCCCAGAAGGAGACGATTGAGGCTCCGCCCGCTCCGTGGCCTCTCTGGTTGTCATGGTTATCCACAAAGACCAGCGCATCTCCATTGGGCATGAAGCCCCAGCCCTCACCCCAGCTCCTTTATTCCACAGAATGCAAAAACTCAATACCTATTACAAATGCGTATTCATGTTTTCACATAAGACATCAAGACCGAGCATGCCTGGCACACTGCACCTACTTGGTGTAGTGAAGTTTCTCTCCGTTCCACTTCCTCATCACAGTTCCCAATTTGGCGCCATATTTGAACTCGGTGACTCGGCCCAAGGAGGTGTACTCCCTGTGAGAGATGGACTCGCCTCCCAAGTCAATAACCTACACAGGATCAACATTGTCTTGACTAAAAAGGACTGGTGGAGAAACTTGACTGCAGCAATGTTTATGAATTTATCATATATTTGGTTTGAATTGCTTGTTTCACAACGGCACAGAAAAAAACGTGTTCTTCACAGAGACAAATCTCAATGTATGGTGAACACATTAATACAATATATTACACTATCACTGATGGTAGTAGCCGAAACAAGACAACACAACAGCGTACACACTCCTTCACCCAGACAAGACAAAGACTTAAACTTCGAACCTGTGGGCTTTAATCACTTTCCTCAACATAATTTTTTGAGTAGTTTTTTGCTTATACAAAAGGGTCTAAGGGCAGTTTTGATCTGGGACATTCAAGGACAATTGAATGGGCATTTACAAACATTAATGGAGAGTGGTAATTCAGCTCCCTATGGACCAATGTGTTTGCTAGTATTGCTTTTCCTGTGTTCAATAATTGTCATGTCAACTGTCAATGACGACTACTATTGTGATTTACAGCTATACAAAAATTTAATAAATTGAAATTAATCAGACGGATTCCTAAATTCATTCAGGTTTGGACATGTTTTTAATAATCCGCTAATTAATTCCAAATAAGAGCTCCGCGCACTAAGACAAACATGCAGGTTTTTGGTACCTCCTGAAAGATGAAAGGCCTGGATCCTTCGGAAAACCACTCGGTGTTGAGGTCATTCAGGCGTCCATACACATTCTGTAGGTCTCCAGGCCACATGTGTTTAACTGCATCCACTCTGAACCCGGCCACACCCAGGTCGATCAGCTTATTCAGAAATCCAGCCACTTTACTTCTGACGTAGTCCTTTTCCAGAGCTAGGTCTAGAAGACCCACTAGACGGCAGTCCCGGACCTCAGAGAAACACACACAACAGTAATATCCGTTGAAGATGCAGGGAGAGATTGTTTATACAATGGCTGAAAGATAAAAGTTGGCTGTTACTGTTACCTGATAAGGGTCTCCATAGTTTTCAATTTCTCCACTGCTGGTCTTGCACTTATGGTCATTGAAGTCCCATCCGGAATAAGGAACGCTGGGGAAGTCTTTTTTGGTGGCACTGAACCAGGTGCCACAGGACGAGTGAGTGCCCTCACCTCCTCCAGAGCCGCACATGTGGTTAATCACAACATCAACATAGATGTTCACCTAAAATCAGCAATATTTAATTTCATTTCTTAAATTTTAAAAAGAGTGCAAAAACCTTCTCAATCTACCCCAACATTGTTGCATCTGGTGATCATGTCGCGGAGCTCGGCTTCATTTCCTGATCGGGAGCAGAGGTCGTAGCCAATTGGCTGATAGCGTTGATACCAAGCCCTCCAGGGAGTATCCAGAACAATGTGATCGTTGGGGGGAGAGATCTGATGAGAGATTGAATATCTGTTAATTAGATCAGGGTTTTTCAATCACTGTGCCGCGGCACACTAGTGTGTCTGGTGTGCCGTGAGAAATTTGCCTTCTTTGTCTAAAAATAAATGCATCCACCGTTGGCAAGTGCTGACTTGTTTTGAACTGCGGAGTAACCACAAAATACTTTTTTATATCAGTACAGTAGGTGGCAGCAGATAGGTAAGTACTTTGAAATGTAAAAATTGGATGAGACCAACAAATGTAACAGGTAGCGAGGAGCATTGTGGCAAGTGAGAAATGAAAGTGAAAGACGGGCATCTTCCCTACAAAAATGAAAAAGGCAAAAGTTATCCCTCTTTATAAAACTGGCGATTTTCATCACTTCACAAATTACCGACCTGTCTCTATACTGCCACAATTCTCTAAAATACTAGAAAAACTTTTTTGTAAAAGATTGGAAAAATTTATTCACAAACATGACATTCTCTCTGAGAGTCAATATGGCTTCAGGGCTCAAAGTTCAACTGCATTGGCTTTAATTGATACAATAGAAGAAATCACAAACTCTCTAGATAACAAGAAATAATTGGTTGATTTAAAAAATGCACAGAGAAATTACAGCAGTATGGTATCAGAGGTGTGGCTTCACACTGGGTAGAGAGCTATCTAACAGACAGGCAACAGTTTGTGAAGATGAATGAAAAGTGCTCCTCATGTCTGCACATGCCCTGCTGTGTCCCACAGGGGTCAGTGCTGGGACCTAAATTTTTCATTTTGTTCATCAATGATATATGTAATGTGTCAAAACTACTCAAGCTCGTATTATTTGCAGATGACACCAATATTTTTTTATCTGATGTAAATTTGAAGACATTACTGGCCAATATAGCAGGGGAAATGAGGAAATTACAGTCTTGGTTCAACAGTAACAAATTATCTCTAAATTTAAGTAAAACAAAACTAATGTTCTTTGGAAATAGAAAAATAAATTCTGATATAAATGTTGTGTTAGATGGCACAAACATTGAGAGGGTTAGTGAAACTAAATTCTTAGGGGTGATAATAGATGAGAAACTTACCTGGAAAGCACACATTAGATACGTGTATGCCAAACTAGCCAGAAGTATTGGAGTTTTGGCCAAAGCTAGACAGAAACTGGATCAAAGATCTCTTTATTTATTATATTGTACATTAGTGTTACCGTATTTGAGCTATTGCGCTGAGGCTTGGGGAAACAGTTACAAAACTGCTATATATCCATTAATTTGTCTTCAGAAAAGAGCTATCAGGATCATTCACAAAGTGGGTTTCAGGGAGCACACAAATGATTTATTTAAACAGGCAAAAATACTAAAATTCAATGATCTAGTTGATTATCTAACAGTATTAATAATGTACAAAGCAAATTATAATAAATTACCTAATAAAATTCAAAAAATGTTTGTATCCAGAGATGGTGTATATAACTTAAAAGGTAAATTCAAATTCAAGCCTACGAGAGCACTTACAACTAGAAAGAGTTTTTGTGTGTCTATCTGTGGGGTGAGGCTCTGGAACGCCATGAGTGAGGAGCTGAAGGGATGTCCAGACATGAGAAAATTTAAAAAAGAATACAAAGAAACCATTTTGGCTCGATATTTTTAGAGAGGGCAATAACTTTACTACTTTAGGAAATATAATAATATACCGGGAAACCACAATGTCGGGAGTATATTAAAAAGGGCAAATAATATATAGGAAAATAAAAAATAAACATAAAAACTATATATATTTAGATAATTAAAACAGAAAACATGTAGATGTGTTCACATGCCTATAGTGTAAGCTGATAAGTGTAAATGTGTTAATATATGTTTATATGCGTAGACATGTACTGTATATGTATGTATGTACATGTGTTTATGTATATGTATGCATGTATCTGTGTATGTATAGTGTATATATGTGTATTTTTGATATAGATGTATAGACAGAGAGAGAGACTATAAATGTATCATTATTTATTTTATTATCATTACTATTATCTGTATCTTCTAGCATAGGTTAAGGTGAAGTACGTTTGCTAATTTGCAAAAAGCAGAAAATTCTACTGATGACTACGAGATATAGCCTACAGGGGTGGGAGTATATAAGTTTTACTTCTTCTCACTCCTTTTTCGAGTTGATACTTGGTTATTTAAAATAAATGTGTATTGTAAATCTCAGTTGTGTATATTGAACTCGAAATAAAAACATTTCATTCATTCATTCATTCAAAGTGATCGAGACGTTTTTGAAAAGGAATTATGACATTTCTGAACAGGATTCACATCCTCCTCTATGACCACGGGGCAGCTGTGGCTGCTTTGTACTGACAGCCGCTTTGACAACTGCTCAGCAAACGCACATCCATTACGTGGTGCCGAGCGCGGACCATAGTCGCGTGGACAGAACCATGGATGCACGGACAGAACCTATACTCACAGGCAGAACTGTGGATGCGCAGACAGAACCCTGGACTCGTATTCAGGACGATCTTCTGTGTCTCCCCCGTGTCTCCTGCCAAAGCGCAACCAAAACTCCCGAATTTAAAGCTTGGATACATTTTCTCCATGCATTAATGCATGTTATTTGTGCACAAAAGTAAAATGTTGTGAAGAAATCAAACAGAACACACAGCGGGCCAATACTTTTTAAAATTATTTTGAATACATAAGAGTCCTCTGAGTCATTTGATTTGTTGGGCTGAGAGTGGATTTTTTAATGTTTTTTTTTCCACACAGTAGTGCCTCTTTATTCCCAAACTCTTGTTGACTCATTTTACATTTTTCCCTGGTGGTGTGCCTTTTTCTATGAAAAAAATGTGCCTTGGCTCAACAATGGTTGAAAAACAGTGCATTAGGGCATGGTCACATAAGTTTTACAAACGAACTAGGCCAAGTGGCCCGGATCGTCGCCACAGGGGTGTGACACAGGGTCCGTGGTCACAAAAGCTTCTTCTCGCAACCGTGCTAGAGCAACTGTGCTGTAGTACAACGCTAGGTCCAGCAGGTGGCGCTAATACTAACACCAGCGACGACCTCGTTGTCCGAGTTAAGGTTCTGTTTCTTTTCCTGTTTACATTCTGGTACTGTAGCTAACAACTCGAGTACGGATTGCGTTGTTTAGGGAAAGACACAGCTCACACTTGTCCACAGTGCAAGCAGTTCAGTGGGTAACAAGTGTGTGCACATGTGTGTGTGTGTGTATGTGTTTGTGTGCGCCGTGGACACGGGAGCGCGCCTGTGTGGCGTACCAGCAGAGCGACCGGAGCCAGGCAGGATACAAGTGTGTGTTGATGTGTTCTGCCGATTAAATAAAGACTGATTCTTGAATGTTTGAAGTGTTATTGCAATAGAACCACACTGAGAGCGAGGGTCAGGAGGACAGAAGGGAGTCATTCCCGTAGGAAACGCTTACCTTTGGCGCTGCAGCGACACACCCCCCTGCGCCCCTCGACCACGGTCTGGGGCTTTTATGAAAGGTTTAACACAAGCAAAGAATACGGAAGTGCAGAGACGTTTATGAAAATGCGCGTCACAACGGAAGACATATTGTGATACCCAATATCAAGTCCCCCCCACACCTCATCCCCCACTCCCCACCACCCTCTACAGTGATCCCCCTCATCTGGGCTTTACAAAGCATGCTGTGGCCCACCTCTCTCAACCGTGCCCAAGCCCACTTGCCATGGTCACATACTGTAGCACCTAATCGCGAAGTGGGCTCAGGCCCACTTTAACTGGGCCTAAGACAGGGACCGGCACTGATCTCTGGAGCACAACCCAAAAGCAATATATTGTCTTATTATAGCATCTGTATGATTTATATTTCAGAATTTCTCATGCAATATCACAGCGATACTCTCTGGAAATTCTGTTAAAAAGCAAAAAGCTTTACTCCAAACAATGTCCACTGTAATTACCCAATAACAGCCACAGTTGTGACAAGTTAAGAGTGTCTTTGTGCAATATGTGTCATGCAGTTGGTAATTCAACAACATGATTCATGACACCTACTTCACAGTTGACTATTTCAAGGTTCTGGCATGCGCCTCCTGTTCGGCGACCCCGCTCCCATCTCTGTGTGGAGTGAGAGGACAAATGCCCAAAAATAATAACAATTATAAACTGCTTTGTGACTCTGGTCTGTGAAAGGCGGTATATAAATAAAGATTACTATAAATAAAGATTACTAAAGTACTTTTTTTCTCTCAAGAATAAACAGCTGTATTTATTATTACTTCTGTATTATTATTATGTCCAAGATATAATTGTTATACTTGTTCTTTGATGCTATAATTATAGATTTTGTTTTATTTTAATCAGTATAGCTACTGCACTTATCTTGTGGTATGTGCTCTTCATTCCAACTGTTCTGACACTTGCGACGCAACAATAACATTTCCTCACTGTGGGACAAATAAAGAATCTCTTAATCTAAATCTGTAGCTTCTCTCTTAGATTTTGGTCATGTATCAGCTTGGTACAGTATGTACACTTGTCTCTATTGAAGCAGTAGAACCTTTAACAGGACCAACAGTTGAACAGATTTATCTATTGTACTGCATTGATCTAACGGTAAACTCAGTCACCATTGAAAGACTCACCTGAACTCCTCCAAACCCATTGGGTCCGAGGAATCGCTCACATTCCTCTGCGATGTCGGCCCACCTCCACTCAAAAAGGTGGACAATGGAGGTGCGTCCGTGCTTCAAGTGAGGGTTGTGTTGGGCCACACTCAGCCCGAAAAGAGCCACAAAAATCAGCCACTTCATCCTGTCTTCTTCCACCAGGTCGATGTGAGAGTGAAAGGCACTGGATCAGCAATACAGTCTGGCTAATATATATAAAAGTAACGTCTAGATACAGCCAATCGAAACACTTCTAATATCTATGTGACTTATACCAGCTGCTCTATTCTCACACAAGTTTCCAAACTATCGCAAAGCAAACTAAAACAAGTTCAGAGTTAGTCATTATAAACCAAAGTCAGAGTTAGTCATATAAACCAAAGTTGCATTGCATATGTGGCAATAGATGCAATTCCGATACCAGATCATCTTCATTACACTAAAATCCACAACTGATTAATGCAAAAGGAGTTTGGTTTAATTGCCTTTTCTATGGTTACTTATGCAGGAGAGGGTTGGATATTGTGCTAGTTAAATGACCAAATACTATTGTTAGCATGGGTTAACATAATTCAAATCAGGGTCTATTGTTTCAACATAGGCTGAGCATTTGTCAAAGGCAAAGAGTAATACAGTTGCTAACCGAGCAAAATGGGTACAATTTGTGTCTACGTTGGGCAAGAAGAGAGTAGAGAAACCAACAAGACATCAACTGCAAAGTGATTGTAGTCTTTTGTTGTTGACTTGAAAGTTTTAACCCACTTCCAAGAATCTCGGTCACTCTGAAAAAGTTGAACGTTAGGCTTGTGAGGCTCCTCCAGCAAATCACAAGTTTTGGTTTTATTGTTATACCAGTCTGACAGTTTTTCTCTCTGTCCACAAGGTTATTAACACCAATGCCATGTGGCTGATCAGAAGCCGCAAAGGTCCATAGGCCTAATTTTGCAGTCTACAATTTAACCATTTCCACATCAGCATGTTTATATGATTACTATTGTGACCATTACGCAATGCTAAATAAAACAGTTGTTAGCCTCGGGCTTACCGTAAATACTATCCAAACAATCCTTTTTTCGTATCCAGCAACTGTTTGTATTGTGTGTTGTTTTTAAAAGAAGCCGAGCCCAGCACTGTGGGATAGGGCTAAAACAACACAGTTCAGATGTTTTTGTCTTCATTGCTTTGACACAGAGTTAACAATGTCATTGTGTTCTGAAAACTTCTGTTCCAGTCCATTCAGTTACCATTTTACCAGTGAAACAGGTATCAAAATCAGGTAAAGACAGTGTTGTGCCAGTCCACAGCTTTTCTCAACTAGTTCAAGTTCAGTTCATACATGCTCAAAGTGAACAGTTCATGTTCAAAGTTCACATTTTTAATTCTGAACTAGTTCAAAGTTCAGTTCATTTTACTTTTTTCGTGAGATAATCAAATACATATTTTTTCACACTACGAGCTATATATAGCTATATATATATATATATATATATATATAGATATATATCTCCTGTACACCTGTCAGGATTCAGCAGACAGAGACGGATCGTGGTGCGCCAAACTCTGGAAGTTTATTTAAGTTTCTCTCAAGTTCCAATGGTTTACTTTGTTTCTTTCTCTCAGACAGAATAAAGGCAGTACACAGTTTATATAGTCATTGTCACGTCACACATCGAAAGACATACGTGTCACAAAGAGACAGTCACATCATAGTCATAACATGGAGTCCTTGTAGAGTCCTTGTACAGTCCTGCACGTAGGCCATATTGCTATCTAATACTAACACCCTCCCCTTTGATCACATAATCACTCAATTTGATCAATCAATAAAGTGGAAAAAGAAAAAAAAAATTCAAAAAAAAATACTTAAAAAAATTATTAAAAACAAAGAAAATGTATGCATTAAACTCATAGTCATCAAATCAATATCAGTGGATTTTATCCTCTATCCTGGGAAAAAATAAACAAAAATAAAGTAAATAAATAAACAAAAAACAACAAACAAAAATAAAAACAAACAAAAATAAAAACAAATGTAGTGAGCTGGCATAAGCTCCCTAGTGAAAGTAGGGGGCGCAGTATAAAAGCCTGTCAATTGCGCTACCTTGCCTCTCCTCTATCCAACGTCACATCCGCTGCACGGGGCTCGGAGCGAGGCAGGCTAGTTGGGAGGTTGCTATGGGTCGTGTTGGGGCGTCAAGCCGGCGGCTGAGGCTTAAGGCCAGCAACTGGGTGGTGCCCAACTTTACTGCGTCGCTGGTAAGCTCCGCTTGTAGCTTTTAATTGCGCCGCTGGTCGGCTGCGTCACTAATTTAATTATTGTTTTTAGCATTGTGCGTGTTGGCCCGGCTACCGCATAGCTGAGCATGGTCAGAGGCTCGGGGTCTCGGTATGGTGCGGGGAACGCTACACTTTGCTTTCTGGTATGTTTTGTTTTAATCTTTTGTCTGTCTTTTGTTTCAATGTAGTACATGTTTTATTTCAGTGTCAATGTTTTAATGTTGTAGGGTGCTGGCGGCGTGCCCGCCTCCCCTTCTTCTTGTTTGGACAAAATCTGCAGACGAGTCGTCTGTTTTTAAGAACTATGATGCTGCTTAACTATGGACAATGACCGAGAGACTGTGGTCAGTGTGCAGACGTGCGCCCTGCGGAATCAAGATAACTGGAAACAAAGAACTGATGTACAGTAACAGAACCTATTTATTACCAAGAGTTGCTCCATTAAAAATTAACCGAGTATCGTTTAACTTCTGCCTCTGTCCAGTCAATTTAAGCTTACCTGTGTGCCTTAGATCCGAGTACAAATTGGGGACATTTTTGGGTATCATATGCCCTGGCGTTGCTGGTTATGTATGTCCGCTCCGTATTGCCACACAAACAAAAACTATTGGACACACAAGAACTCAGCAGATTCAGTCAAAACACAAACAAAAACGAGCTGAGTCTCAAATTAGAAGCTAATTTCACTTTTCTTACTCTATACTTTTATTCTAATGATAATTGTTGACACTACACTTATTTCACTGTATTGTTTTCACTTTTCAATCTTAGACTGTGTACTTTACTTTCATTATTACTATAGTTTAAAACTATTCTAATCTATTCACAAATATGTTTGTATATTTGCTTATATTGAGCCATATTCTTAAACATATATTTTAATCTCTCTGTGGTTTACTTTCATTATCAGTTTGGGATGAATGTACATCTTTAATCAAATTGGTATAATCCTTACAAGAGCTAATCTATTTTAGCAGGTTTGGGGTTGGGGTCAGTTATTCTACAATGGTGTTTGTGCTGGAAACTTCTCAATATCTAAATATCTACTATTGTGTTTTTGTGCTATACCCAAATGCATCAAAATGCTTTTGAATCTCTGTTGGTTGTAATCTATCTCATTAATCTAGGCATTAATCTAGGCTACACTCATGAACTTTTTGCATTGTCAACATTCACTCATGTTTGAACACAAGTGAATTTGACAGTGTCTAATAAAACTGTACATAAAACTGTAAGTAACTTTATCTACTTTTGAAGCAAAGGTTTGTGGAATGGTCCCTTTACCATTTGATATTAGCACTGGCTACAAATAATCTCTATTTTTGAAAGCATCTATGGTTGATGCATTTATCTATTTCTATTTTTACTCTATTGTGACTCCAAAGTCACGCTGCAACCAAAGATCGGTTGCAGCTTGAGTCAAGGCATATTTCTAGTTTGTGACTTCTGTCACTTTTAATATCTCTAACATTATTCTGATTCTAATATTATAGCTGCTCTATCAGAAGGATAACATTGTATGGTTATGATTTTAATTCTTATGTGGAAATGTTTATGAAAAACAAAGGAAGGACAATTCTACTTTTTTACTACTATTTAACATCTAATAAAACGCTACAATACTCATACTTTATCATTTAAAAACATTTTAACAGTTGCTCAGTCTCCCAGACTAAAAAGTCAAAGTTTTTGTCTGTCAAATGTCTGAATACTTAACATGTATATTGCATTTGGTCACAGGTTCTGGTTGTAGCAATAGCATCGGCAATAGACGATTTTCATTGGCTGGTTCTTGTTCTGCAAATGGCTGTGTCCAATAGATCATCAGATCTCCAGAAGCTAGGGACAAACAAAAACAAAAGAAAGAATCATGAGTATCTCTCTCATTTAGCACTCATCAATGTATGATTTTAAAAATATAAACATCACTCCCCAGTTTTTTCTCTCAGGTCCTCAGATCCTCAGGGTCCTCAGGTCCTCAGATCCTCAGGTCCTCAGGTCCTCAGGTCCTATGAGGGTGAATCTCAGTCGTCATCAGGTCAGGTCATATTTTGAGAGATGTCATCTTGGACATCAGTAGGGTCCAAGCCATGATTTTGGTCTCCAGATGCACATCAGGATCTCCAGATACAGTCTTTTCACTTGAAGCACATCAGGTCATTTGCGATGCACTTCTGGTCAATGGTGCAGTGTCTCAGTTCCTGTACACAGCTTGTTATGCAGTAGTTCTCTATGGTCTCTATAGGCGCTTTGTGTTGCCCTGTGCAGGAAAAGCGCCCTATAAATAAAGATTGATTGATTGATTGATATGGTTAAGTCACTTTGATTCTAATGTAACACAATTTCTATTCATGCTGTTGCTAATGTCCCTCAGACAAAAGCAAGCGCAGTTTACTTCTCTAATTTGTGTTTTTATCAGATCTAATTCTAATCAATGTAATTACTTCACACAGTACAAAATCAACAAATCAAAAGTGTCAGGACAGACGTCAATTAAGTCCATGACAATATAGAATTCAAATGAACATTTCTGGTCTCAAAAATACTGATTCAACTAAAGATTCAAGTGATAGACCAGTGTCTCCCAAAGTGGGGTCCGCGGCCCCCTGGTGGGCCGCGAGGGTACTGCAGGGGGGCCGCGGGAGGTCATAAAAAAAAATAATATAATTATTTAATGTTAAATTTATAATGTTTTGTTTGTAATATTAAAATATTTGTGTTCATTATTTGACTTGAATAATCCACTGTAATCATTTTTGTATTACAATGTTTGTAGCAGAGGCTATTTCCCCAAAATAAAATAACCAGAAGAGCCTATTCTTAATGTTGTCTTCTTGGTTATTATTTTGGGGGGCCACGCAGACCCG